TATATATATATATAAATATTAAGACAATTACCTGTGTAATTGTACAATTGTGTTGTATACCGATAATTGCCCTAATCTTTCTAGTATGAAGTACAAAAGAAATTACTATAAGAGTAATTATTATTTTTATATTGATAGATATTAACATTAATTCACTTCGAAAGGTATTAATGCTATAGCCTTAAAACAGGTCATGATTTTCTAACAGAACATCTGAACTGCACTACCATCCTGATAAACGGGAAGGCTAGATCTTCAGAGCAGGTAAAAGAAATGCTGAGTACTTTCCATTATGCCTAAGACTCTTTTCAGAATTTTGGACAAGCGGTGATATTTTGATATTATATTTGGGCGCTAAAACATAAGAGATTCTTAGCGAAGTTTGTGAGCGTTTTGGGGTCATCACGATTCACTAATGTAAATACTGCATTTGTTTTTAATTTAATTTTATTATTTTTCTGTGTATTGCTCAAGTTGCCTGCAAATTCATAGATTGATTTTCAAATAAAGCCATATTAAAGTAAAAGATGCTAATGTACTGCATTTAATGTAAACTACTTATATAGTATTCATAAAATAGCCATTTAATATAATTTCAGAGTGTCAACGCTTATCTGAAAATATAATTATAATAATTTCTGAATTATTTTTAAATCGAAAGGGTATATTTTGTGCTACGTAGAATAAAACAAGAACAACAAATAAAAGTACAGAAATGGACAGACTGTAATTTCGGTTCCATAAATAAGAATCCACCATCTGGTTAGAACTCTTCACTGAAGAATTTTTATTGTTTAAGGAAGCGAAACTACATTATGTCTATTTCTGTACCGATGTTTGTGTTTTATTTTCGTTGTTTTTTATTTTTTCTAGCATCATTATGTTGTTAAAAAAAATCACACAGTCGAAAAGAGCTGATTGCCATGAGATGAAGTTCTATTCAGCACCTTGTTAAATGGCATAAAGTGGGTTATAGTACAAGAAGGGTAATTTTCAATAAACTGGAGCACCTTTCATCCCTTCGTAAGGAGCACTTCCAATGGATATTTTTCCAAGTTGATATGCATGTTAATCAGACAGCAGATATTTTGGCTGAAAAGGTAAGCCATTGGACACTCCTGATTCACTAACTTAATTGAAGCAAGGATCCAATTAAGTTACAAGTCCAATAAGGCTGATTTGGGATTGTGCTACTAGTAGTTTAAGTAACTGCATATGTAAGTCCAATAGGGCTGACTTTTTGGGACTCGAGAACTAAGAAAGCTGGAAATGCTTCTTGGACCCCCATCCCACTTGTTCCTCAATAGTACCAGGGAAAGTGCTTTATCACTCAAGTTTTGCTAGTGGGACCAGACGGCCATCACCAGGCTATATCAGTGGACATGTGAGATTTCTGTCTTATTTCAATGGGAAAAAAAGTTTTTACATCCTGCGTGAAGTGGGCCGAAAATCAGTCCTCTCTTATCTGGGGCTTTCCAGAGAAGATCTTTTTCACAAACCCAATTCTTGTATTAGAGTGAGAGATTTCATAGAACTGATTTAACGTTGCTAAACAAGGGGGATACGCAACAACAACAAAAATATAATGAAAAAGTTCATACAAGTTTCAAACTACCCATTTTAAAAACGCCTATCTTGATTTATATGAGTTTCTCGACAATATATTTTAATTAGAAAACCTTACAACTTTTAAGAAAGAAATATGCAACTTACTATGAGTAGTTGAAGAGAAACTTTTCTTCGATGTTGCTTGGGAACTGGGTGCAGATTCAGAGGAAATGAACATAGATGTAGTAGCCGATTCAAATTCTGTTACTGATGATGAACCATGTGGAGAAGTTTCAAATGGTTTGAATGAAGATGAAAAATAGTTAGAGTCATTAGTGACGTCAGTAGGTTTATACATAATGGTTATATCTTGCGTTAAATTTGTGACATCACTAGTGATAATGAAAATATCCCGAATTGATGACGAGGGCACATATGGGGAGGGTTTTGGTTTAGGGCTTGTTTCTTTCCCCGTTGATATTTGCGTAATTGCAGATGTGATTAGAGATGAAATTTCTGGTGTAGTAGGTGGCTCTGTTTTTCTGGTGCTAGTTATAGTTGAAGTAACTGTAGATGTAGCAGGAGAGGAAATTACTACTTCTAAAATATAAATATTCATGTTATAGTTTTTATAGTTTATAATAATGTATTTTTTATTTAAAATAATGCATTAAAATAAAGTCTGAAATTCCAAATTAAGAATAGTGATTAGGTCGTTTTAGTTTTTTCAGCACCATACTCTAATTTTGTTTTTTATTAGCGTTGTAATAATACAAAATAACATGGAGGCGATAAAAAAACATTCCGAATTATAGTTTTCAGCTTTTATTTAAATTTAATTTGCCTTAGAGTAGATATGACGGTAGAAAAAATTAAAAAAAAGAGGCATAAAAGTATTCTTTAAAAGAATCTAATATTTTCTTAGTTTCACCTAAAAATTAAAATTAAAAATTCGGATCTAGATTTATATTTTATTAGAGTTAAGAAATATTTTTATAGTTACTAACATAATTAATTGTAGTTTTTTATCTGAATAATATTACTTTCTAAATTTTTCACGAGCATATCAGCCCTGCGTTTAAACTTTTCAAAACACTAAACGTATAAAATTTGATTCCTCAAAGAGAAGAAGCGACAAAAACTTGGGAGAACAGTTCGAAAGCATTTTGCAGTTAACCAGTCAGCATTGTCAGCAAATTAACACTCCGAGAACTAAAATGTTTTAGTGCTAATGATTTTAGTTTCTTCTCGAGGGTTTCTTCTCAATTTCGGGATATGATTCTTATTCTTTATGAATTAATTTTTTAGGGAAAAATAACTATTGTTTGTACCTGATGAGTTTTGTAATTGTTATATATTATTTTTAGCGTAAGTTTTCCATGTTTTTCTGCTCCCCAGAGCCCAAGGTCAAGATAACTGAGATGGGCACAGTAGGCTTTGGCCCTCTAAGGGCTGTCGCGCCACTGAATTCAGCTTAGGTTATTTATTAGGTTATATNTAGCGAATTTTCCATATAACGAACTTATTTCTTTAAATAGAGGTCCGAAGAATATATATATAAGAAGAGAGTGGAATGATAACACCAATCACAGAAGACTTCTGGTTAGTAACGCACGAAACAGCCAATCAAAATTGAGAACGCATGTGTGTATAAAGGTAATAATTTTTAATAATGCTGACTGCAGAAATGTTACTACTAAAATTACCAGTTAAATCTATCTTGTTGCGATTTTTATTTTGTATTGAATGTGTGAAATATGTTGAACAGAGTTTACTTTAAAATACTTATCTTTTATAAGAAATAGATCTCCGTGAATATCTTAGGCGATATCAACAGCGACATAGGGCTAAACATAATTTAGCAGCACAAAATTAACGGGGAAATAATCGTAGTGCTATCAATACGCGACATCGAAATGCGCGGCGGAGAAACGTTGAAGAGTCAAGACGTTTAAATAAAAACGAATAATATGGAAAAGAAATTGATAAAAAATTTTGTATATAAGGAGGTTTTGTAAATAATTTTTAATTTTATCATTGTTTTTTCTTACTTTTAATTGTTTTTTACTTGCTTTCAAAAAATCGTTCCGTCAGAAATATTAATTAACAGTTCATATTTGTTTGAGATATTTCTTAAATAATGCATAAAAGTGAAAATCACTGATTCACAAAATGATGTGAAAAGAAAAATCAATGAAAAATGTACATAGCTAGGAATATTCAGAGATCCATTGTAAATAATTTTTAATTTTATTGTTTTCACCTTATTTTTTAATAACAATTCAGACAAAAATGTTTATTGATCATTGATAACATAATTATTTCATTTTATATTTGTTTTTTGATTAGTATTCGGTATGACAAAAAAATTAAATTGCTTAATTTAATTTGTCGAATTTCAGCTACATGTGATTTTATTATATAATTTGCTTTTTGTTTGATTGAAACCAAAATATTTTGTCAGTTGAAAGTATTGTAGTTAATTGGGCAATATCTTGCAATGGGTTTTTCTTTTGAAATATTACTCAGCATCAACTAATTAATATTACATATTTTAATTTGTTTGCCATATTTAAAAGTTTTTTTTTCATTAGGTTTTAATTGTTTTCAGTTTAAAATTTAAATTACTGGGGGGGGGGGAGATGAAGCACCATGTAGGGAGAGTCCGGCATCCTATAAGATCAACAATGATTTGAGTTAGTAGAGGTAAAAATATACTTCAGGTTGCCCCTTGGCGAAATTGGCGACTTATGTTTGGCGCCATTCCTGATTCCGCGGATCACCGTGGTAACAGGAATGGCTGCCAAAATATAATGATATTTCATTAAAGCATAAAACATTGGAAAATTTGAACAAAACATCGGCCAAAACTTTATAAAATTGCAATGAACCGGATATGAGCAAAATTAATAAACCCAAGAAAATGCATTTTGAATCGAAACAAAAAATTAATGGAGTAAGCATAGAAAGAAAAGGAAAAAAACAACTCACTTCTTCTTTAAGCTTGAAAATCCTCAGATTTAGGCGCACCGAATTCTCTAATAGCAGTTAGATATTGTATAAATTTATCATGAATAGAATCTGTGTACCTCCATCGCCACATAAATTCTGTGAAATACGAATCGAAAATGGCGTCTGTGGTACCGGTCTGGCGATGACATTTTTTTCTGAAGTCCCTTTTTATGACTGTCCACATACCTCCGATCTTACTGAGCAGAAAAAAAAGTAACCTTACCAGCTGGTATCCAGCTTAGAACAAGTGAACCTCTGAAATCACATGTACCGTTGAACTTTTAAAAATAAAGCTAAAATGCAAACCAATCAGAATCACGTTTGGGTTTCAGCATCGCCCAGCTTTGGTATCAACCGCGATCACAACTTGGTGAGAATTAAGGGGCACCCTCAAATATACGAGTTTGGCTCTGCCACGTGTGTTTCGAATACGGAGATTAATCTCCGGCTAATTCCCTATAGTAATGTGTTAAATGATATTGCTTCCTCTCTTTATATAAGTTTATATTATTGCTTGTATTGAAATTGGTTTATATAAATTTAGAATGCCGATAACAGGGACCTCTGACATATTACAATCCTATCTTATTCTCTCTTTGTGATGATGGTGCAGAAAAATTGCCAGCTAATCTCCAGGGAAACGACTTTAATTTTGTTCGCAAAGCGAACAAAAACGTAATGGCGCAGCAGTTATAGGGATTTGGCGAGCGGTAGCGAGCAGGGGACGGNATATATATATATATATATATATACATTTTCTCTGGTAGACCTAATTTGAAATTGTTAACCTTTGTTAAAATAGATGCTAAACAAAATCTAACTTAGCAAAAGTGTATTGGTTGATGTGTTATAGATACGTGTCCCACGAGCCCGAGTTACATTAGCTATTTTTTTCTTTTTATTTTGCTTGATTTCTCTATTATTTTAACGCTTGGACTTACTTTTTAACTGCCTATAAATGATCTTCTGATAATAATCTCTATAAATGATCTCTAGTGATATTCCTTATACTTAGCAAAAGCAGGATTTTTGTTATCTAGATATCAGTGTATAAAAATTTTAAAGAGGATGAATATATTGTTTGATTCAGAGCTGCACATTCCTCTCTCTTTTATAATTAAACATTTAATTCGTCCCGAAATAATGATTTTCAGAAAGTGTAATACCGATGAATAATTGTTTTAAAATTTAAAAAATTGGAGTTTAAAAAAAAACAACTTTTGTTTTAGTTGTAAGTTTTTAATATGAATTAAAAATAGATGTTTTATAAAAGAGGTTCATTTTGGATACTGTTTTTCAATTTCTTTTATCTATTTTTCTCATCCGTTCTACTATTTTTCTTAATCTGACCATCTTTTTAGAAATGGGAAAAAATAATTGCTTGTGACTAATTAAATCGTTCCTCACAATCAATATTCACATCAAAATCCGACATTTAAGTTCAAATTTAAAAGCTTAAAATGTAAGCCTGCATTTATATGAGAAAAAATACTTTACTTTTAAACACTATTCTATCTTTAAATTTCATTGCAATCCAATTTCAATGACAATAACACTGACTTTAAAAAAACTCATTTCATTTTATTTATTAGGTAACTTTATTTTTAATTTTTTAAATATCTTAAATGCTTTAATTTCATATATTTTATGTAAAATTATTTAAACCGGAGCAGATTTTCAGTTGTCAATATGCAACTTCGTTTAATTGTTGTATAGTTTTTACCTTGCTAATCGAAAACAAATTTATTTCATTTTCTTTATCGTATGTTTAGAGTTACTGTTTTCGTGAAATTTAAGTAACATTTTTTTAATGATACTAAGTTTGTAATAAATGTTACAATGAAGCGATTATAAGAACTAAAAAAAGAACTAATTTAAGAAATAAATTGGCATTTGAAATCAAATCGAGTTCGATAGCTTTTCCTATCGAACATTACCCCTTAATAAGTTATAAACTAAGTTAAAATAAATAAAATTCTTTGAGGGTGTTCTTAAAATTATGAAAAAAAAACTCCATTTAAAAGAAATAAATGAATCATTTTCACAACTAAGCGTCACGATTTAAATGAAGGTAGGAAAATTATTAATAAAAATTGAATAAAATGATAATAAAATAATAAAAGATAAGTATGATAATGTATGAAAAAAAGAAATATTCCACTCAATTAAAATAAAAATATATTTTAAAAATATACTATATGTTCTGAAGACAGCCATCATGATTGAACAAAATTTGAGTTTATCTTAGTAAAAGTTTCCTGACTGAATATCGAGAAAGAGTTTGATTTGAGAGTCACCCCTTTTTTTAACTTACTGTAAAGTTATGACCACTCTCGTAAAGTCCTCCATCCACTGGTTACATTTTATTTCATTCCCAGAAACACTCCCCGAAAATTCTTCAAAATATTCCCTATGAAGCATTTATGACAAAATTTAAACAAACAAAATATCTTCTCTTACATCGTACACCCATGGATAGATAAAGCAGAGTAATCTGAAGCTGTGGACAACACGCACACACACAACATTTTCCCTAAGTGAAAAGGAATCCTTGTAAGTCAGTGATGAGGAGGGGATAGTTGGTTTCGTCATGTGGTAAAATGAATT